AGAAGGCACACTTATTTATTTTCACATAAAAATGAGATCTTGGTTGAATACTTGATACTGCACGATTTAAAGTATCTCCAATGTTTTTCAGAGTTGGTCAATATTTAGATTTTATAATCGTCAATGCGGAGAACACACCTTCACATGAATACACAGTACAAAGTGTCAAAAGGCACAATGGCCCTTTTAAGAAATTGTTGGAAATTCTGTCCCAATCCCATGTCAAAATCCATTTAGTGGAATTTCAAGAAGCCTAAATTAGCAACTCAGTTTTCATTTAAAAATAAAGCAACCAAATAACACAACCTCCAAAATGCTAATCAGATACTTGGGTTCTGAGACGCAATGGCAGGAAAACATAAAAGCCACCGTTTTCCACAACGAAATCCTCAGAGCAGAAGACTTTGCATTTACAGTAAAAACACTGTCGCCTGTCCCATACGGCAGCTCCCGATGGAAGCCGAGGTGTTTCAGGCAATGCCACTGACATCGTGTGGTGCATCAGCCTGTATGCATGGTGCGCACGGCTCATGTTGTAGGTTTAGAACCCAGGCTGCAGTGAAGCTGCAAAATGCAACAAGACAGCCAGAAATGTCTTGAACTCGTGCATTTTGAGTTTTAATTGTTTTTGAGCATTGCAGGTTCAGAAATCTTCTTCTATGGTCAAATTTTTCTCAATCCCCACATTCAGTTATATAAACCATATGGGGACAGTCACCCAGTTTAAGAAACCGGGGTCCAGAGCACAGGGGCATCTTCAGCCCAGGTAAGCCACGACCAAAGAATTCAGCTTAGGAGCTAGAGATGGCCCAGTAATTAAGAGCACTTGCTGTTCTTGCAGAGGGCTGGTGTTTGGTTCCCAGCACCCACGTGGTGGTGATAACAAAGGGACTTGACGATGGTGGAAGCCCGTGACAAAGACAGGGAGCAAAGGAAACGAGTGGGGACCGAGAACCAGATAGAACCTTCAAAGGGACACTCCCAGTTACCTGCAGTTAGGCCCCATCTCCTGAAAACATTTCCAGAACCTCTTAAAATAAACCAACAGCTGGGGAACCAAACATTTAACACACGACACTGTGACAGGTGCTTGATATTGAGGTCGCCTGTCTTAGTTCGGGTTTCCATTGCTGTAAAGAGACACCATGCCCACAGCAACCCTTATAAAGGAAAACAATTAACTGGGGTTGCCTTATTATAGTTCAGAGATTTAGTTCACTGTCATCATGGTGGGAAGCATGGTGGCATGCAGGCAGACAGTGCTAGAGAGGTAGCTGAGAGTTCTACATCTGGATCGGCAGGCAGAAGGAAGAGAGTGCCACACTGGGCTTGGCTTGAGCCCATCCCCAGTTAGACACTTCCTCCAACAAGGCCACACCTCCTAAGAGGGCCCCTCCCTGTGGGCCAACGCAGTTTATTTTCAGTCAAACCTCCATACCACCATAGACTTTCTGTGTAAGCTTGTCTGAAAGAACACAGAATCACACAGTGGCCTCCATCAGAGTTTCAAAGCAGGGCGCACAAGTAGAGCTGGTCTACTAAAAGAAAGAGGAAATAAAATACAAAGACATAGGAAGCTGGGCCAGGCATGATGCCACATACCTGTGACCCCAGCACTCGAGAGGTTAAGGTCAAGGAGTTCAAGGTCATGTGGATCTGTGCAGCAAGTGAAACGTTAGCCACACCCTGTCTCAAAAATAAGATATTGCAGCAAAGCAAAAAAAAAAAAATGCCCCTCTGACAAAATGAACACATAGCTCCCATCTACAGGGGAAGCAAAGGCAAGCTCCAGAATTAACCTGTTTTTTCTGATCGAGGTATCACTCCAAAGCAAAGGACATCATGGTCTGTTTTTTGATGTTCTAAGGGCTCCAGAAGAGATATGGACCAACCGAATATAGGTGACAAACAACCCTAGGAAAAGGATGCTGAGATAAAGGAAAGCACCAGAAGATGTTGCCCACAAGCTACAGAGAAACCTGATGCACCAGAGACTCGCCCAACCAAGAAGAGGAAAGAACCAGGAAGATGAACAGGCAGAAGAGGAAGCCGATTTTGGTGACATGCTTTTCTTACCTGTAAAATACGGAATCTCCTTGCATATAATGTGTCCCTTTTGGAGAAAACAAAAGTGGGGCTGTCAGGAACACACGTGTCAGTAGCTTTTCTGTCACTGCGATGAAACACCGTGACCAAGGTGAACTTAAGAGTTTATCCTGGTTTACCATCCCAGGGGATGAGCGTCCGTCATGGTGGGAGACGCGGACACAAGCAGAGCGGAGCGAACACATCTTGAAGCTACAAGCACAGGGCAGAGAGTGAAAGTGAAGTGTCTAGGGTTTACCCCAAGCTCACCCCCCAGGGATGAACTTCCTTCAGGAAGACTGCATCTTCCATAACCTCGCCAAGCCGCGCCACCAGCTGGGGACCAAGTATTCAGATGCCTGAGCCTATGCGGGACGTTTCTCATTCAAAACACCACGCTCTGTCCTGATAGTCCAGTCAACAGCTACTGGCTTGACTGTCCAGCGTAGGGTCATAAACCCCACGAAGTTTCCAGCAGGCTCCTGTCCACACACAGTGACATCATCAGTCATCTCTGATGAAGCTCCTATGGAAGAATCATCCCGCGACTTGAACAGCACCGTGTCATCATCCACACCAAAGGAGGCCACTGTTCTGGTGACGTTCTAGACCAGTGGTTCTCAACCTGGGGGTCGCAACCCGTTCCCAGGGGTGGCCTAAGACCGTCGGAAAACACAGATATTTATATTATGAGTCACCATATGGTGAATGGAAATAATTTAATGGTTGGGGTCACCACAATGTGGAAAACTGTATTAAAGGGTCACAGCATTAGTAAGCTTGAGAACCACTGTTCTAGACAGCTTAGCATTATATATAATTATTATATTACACATATTATATTATCTATATTATACATAATGCCAAGCTGTCTAGAACAGCATATATACATATAATTTTTTTCAAAATTATTTTACTAAGGAAAAAAGAGTTTACATGAGAGTCACATTACAGTATTACATGGAAAAAAGTTAATAAGCTGGAACATAGACCCCTGAGGCTGGGTGGATAATGGATAAACACAAACAGATGAAGAAGTATCTTAAAAGTAGCACAGTGAAAAAAACTAGGTAAATATTTCATATGCCAAGAAAGACAAAAAAAAATCACAATATGTATAGTTTCTGGGTTTGGGGATGAGGATGCTTTCCTTGCCTGTATTAAACATCTTTTTAGATGAGAATATTTTCTTAAATGGTGCAAATAAAAGAGAAAGCAGGAGAGGTGAGGATCCTGTGAGCAGAGCGAGCGAGGACCCTGGGTCCTCCCTGGCAGGGCCAGGCAGTGGGCGCTGGGCAGGAGAAGCGAGACAATTCCCTGTCCCCGCTCAGTGGGGCCAGAGCTCTGCCAATGGAGCCCACATACAGAGCAAATGTAATAAAGACTCAGAGGGACCCAAGGATGTGGTCCATTGCCACCAGGCCTGTGGCCCACCACGAGTGAGTCTGTCTCCCTCTCCTTGTGCTGCCTGGGTGGCCGAGTTTCAGCCACCTTGTAAGTCACAGCAGAGACTTCTTCTCCATCTTCTCTCCCAGACACTCTGACAGCAGTGGGGAGCTCTACAATGAGTGACTCGTAGCTACTGTGCCTGGGGCAGAAGGGGGGGAGTTAAGGCGAGACACAGGCGCTCGGTCTGTCTTTTACACTCACACACCACACATCCTGCCGGTGCATATGTCCCAGTGGGTACCGGCTCTCCCGGTCAGCCCCAGTGACCTCCCTGCATCTGATCCCTGGGACCCCCACGGTGGAAGGAGAGAGCTGATACCCACAGGTCAGCCCGAAGCCTCCACGTGTGACACAGTGAGTTCCCAAAGATGTCCTCTGGCCTCACCCACACACCGATACGTGGCGTAATAAAGAAAATTAAATCCACGCACACTCCCTAGTGCCCGCTCCCTGCGAATACGGCCGTCCTTAGATATGGCCTTTGCGGACGGAACTGTGGATCTCAAGATGAGATCACCCTGGATTGGCAATAGGCTCTAAGTCTAACCATGGTATCCTTAGAGAGGACTGGATATGGAGGCACAGGCCTGTAAGCCCAGCTAAGTCCGAGGCTCAAGCTGCAGAACTGTAAATTCAAGAGCTGCCTGGACTGCAGAATGCGCCCAAGGCCAGTCTGAGCAACCCCGTCTCAAAACAAGAAAAAGAGGCCTGGAGTGAGAACACTTACTACAAGGGAGTGTTTGAGACATAGAAACACGAAAGGTTGAGAAGGTGGTGTGAACCGAGGGGTTGGAGTGTTGCCGAGGATACGGCAAGCTGGGGGAGGGACGGAATGGGCTGTCCTTGCGTGCCCCGACCTCATCTTGACTTGGAACTTCTGCAGCTCTCAGCTGCTATGTTTGTAGGGATTTGTGCCAGCAGCCCAGAAAACCAACTCCTTTCCACCTCCTCCGTATCTCTCCATCTCATCCTTTACCCTAGTCTCCTTGTAGGTCACAGGTCCAGGTAGGGGCATCTGGGAACCTGGCTGCGACTAGTCGGGTTGCTAAGTGGCTAATTACCTGCCTCCCACCAGATGTCCCTGGGTCATTTCTACCCCCACGTAGAGGGGTAGGTCGTGTTTCAGGGTTGGTCATGCACCAAGGGGCGGGAAAGAAAGTCTGACGGCTTTCTACTTCCTTCACACAATAATAAAAGGAAACAGATTTTTGCCAAATGGCTGAGGCTTTGTAAAAATGAAATCTAAGCTAATTCAATAGATCCACTTAATTATTTAAGCCCGAGTCAATATTTCTCATTTGCTTCCTCTTACAAACCCAGACACGATAATGAAGGAAACGCTATTTAAATCAGCGGAGAAAGAAAGGGGGCCCAGACAGAGGCAGAGACTAAACCTAATAAGACTTAATGAAGGCAAGAAAGGATTCAGCCATTCCCAGAAAATAATTCACAGCCACGCTTGCTGCTAAGACTCAAAGAAAAAAATTTATTTACAATAGAGAATTTTATTTGAAACATGCATTTTTTTAAAAAAAAAACAACAACAAACCAACCAGCAAATGTGGATCAATTGTACACTCTTTAAGGCAAGAGTCCCTATGCAGGCTGCATACGTTCATGTCACATCAGATGCTGCTCACCAAAGGACAAGGCCAAGGTCAGCAATTTGTCTTTTTTTATAAGATAATCTGACACTCTCCCTGATACAGGAACTCTGAGGTCAACTTGCTATGAATTATACTAGAAAATGCAAACGGAGAGCAAGAAATCCCGGTAGGTCTCGGCACTGCATACGGTCAAACCAACCTTACTTAGAAAGGGAACACAGTAGTGCATATAAAGTGAGAAGAGAGCCTGTCCGCGGAATCGGAAGGGCGACAGTGTGCCGACGGTCGTATTGCACGCAACGGCCAAGTCCAAGCACTTGGTTCCAAGTTAGCTTTTCCCCATTTTGGCAATCAGTTCGTCACAAATTTTGGTGAGTTCTTCTATCTCTTTGTTCTGAAAATGAAAGATAAGAGAGGTGTTCTGAAATAATACACACGCAAGCAACAGAAATGGACATATGCATACACAAAAGGAAAAGAAGACAACCAGGCATGATTAAAGGTGCACACCTTTAATCCCAGCACTTGTCAAACAGAGGCAAGCGGATCTCTGTGAGTTTGAGACCAGCCGGATCTACATAGTGAGTCCCAGGCTACCAAGCCAGTCACGGGGCTGAGGCGATGACTCGGTCGTCATAGTGCTTGTGTTGTAAGCTGATGGGTCTGAATTCAAACCACGGGACCCATTTTTTTTCTAAAGCAAGCCAGGTGTGGCAATGCACACCTATAAGCCCAGCACACGAGAGGGAGACAGAGGAGGATCCCCTAGGCCGATGATCAACCCTGTCTCAAAAGGAAAGGTGGACAGAGTAACTACAGAAACCAAGAAAGTAAAAAGGGATCGTGGTTGAGGGGGCTGGAGAGGGGAACAGCAGGACTCAGAGGTCCCTCAGAAGTTGAAGGTGAATTCCTGTCCTGAAGACACCACTCGCTTCGGACACAGGTCTCGGCAGAGTCGAGGTGATCTAACTTAAAAGCCTCCTTCCTGCTGGTCTGGTTTCCCTAGCACCAGAGAGTGCTGTGTAAACCATGGAGGGAGGGAGGCAATCAATAGTTCTTTCTGGCTATGACACCTATGAATCACAACGATCAGTTGAGCAAGATGTCCCTTGGGTTGCAATAGTGGCACTCATCTTGATAGCAACCAACAACTCTCGAAATGGACTAAGGTCTGCTCAATAGGAGCGACATCATGCCTGGTACTGGAAACCTAGCCAACTGCCCAGGGCCAGTGAGGTCATGGAGCTGAGGGAGACCCTACTATCACCACTGGATTAAACCAGCATAATTCCTAAGTGCTTTCTAAAACTTACCCTTAGAATGAGAAATGGAGTTCTCACCCAAAGAAGCTTCTCTTTGTGGTAAGTGGAGACCACTGCAGAAAACCTCAACTGGTCATCATGCAGTGGAGTGTGAGAACTCCAGCCTCAAGGATATAACTCAACTCCTGCCACCCAATGCTCAGGGAACATCACAGAAGAGAGGGTGGGAAGATCCTAAGAGTCATGTTGAATGACTATGTCTCCTAAAAATGACAAGGGAGCTACACCCATGATACCCCAACTATGTGGCCAACAAGACTCAAACAATGACAATATCAGTTAGACATTTTAACACGAAAGGGGGAAGTCTCAAGGGGCCCACCCCTCGACAAACATCTACAGGCAACTAACAACCGCTGGAAAAAGAATTAGCTTCTCCCATGGATGAGCCCCCTTAATTGGTTATCCAACGCAAAGTGGTTAGCCCTGAAATAATATACGCACAAGCAACAAAAACGTACATATATACACCAAAAAGAAAAGAAAAAAAGGCCAGGAGTGGTGGTGCAGATGTCTTCCTGTATACTGTAATACATTGCTCTGCTTTGACCTATGGCAAAATAGAATATTGCTAGGCAGGAAATTTAAACAGATATACAGGAGAAGAAGGGTGGGGCCAGGAGGAATGCGAGACAGCCACCCAAGAAAAGAGATGCCAGCAGCAGCCTAAAAGATGTCAGAACAGAGGTAACACCGTGGCCACATGGTGATACACATATTAGTAGAAAGGAAAGAGCTAGCCAGTAATAAGCCTGAGCCATCGGTGAAGCAATTATATTTAATATGAGCCTCTGAGTGATTATTTCATAAGTGGCTGTGGGGACTGATGGGCGGGAGAGAAATCAGTCCCGCAGGACCAGGCGAGACAGAGAAAAACATTTAGCTACAAGGTGAGGCAGCGCATGCCTTTACTCCCAGCACTTGCCAAGCAGAGGCAAGAGGATCTCGATGAGTTTGAGGCCAGCCTGACCTGCTAGTGAGTCCCAGGTCATCAAGGTCACACTGAGACCCTGCCCCAACAACTATTACCAGTCAATCAGAGGCAACACGGGTCTCATGGGGGACAGCACCTACCAAGTCTCTCGGTCTCCCATAAGGCTAGTAATCAGAGGAAATAACTGGAAGCGAACAAAGTTTACATCCTAGCTATGATGTAGCTGGGGAGCTTGGGCAAGTTGCACAGCCATCCTGAACCCTGGCCTCCTTACCTTTAATACGTAGGTGAGAATGAGAGGAGGTAAAAAGTGTGGAGTTGTGTAAATGGAAAGACTCAGTGAGTAGACCACAGAGGAGGGTGGCTGAGGGCTGGGGTGAGGAAGAGCTGGCCTTGGTTCACCGCTTTCCTGACAAAGACCAACTTGGAAGAATGCTAATGTTATTTAAAAGATGCCCAGTAGGTGGCGTGGTGGTACAGGTGTCCTGCAGGAGTCAAGGCAGAGGAAGACACTGTCTTCCCTGCAGAAGCCACCCTTTGCCCATCCTTGAAGCTCAATCAAAGGCAACTACACACACGGGCACAGATATCAGGGCAGCAGTTCCTGTCCTGTAGGAAGGGGATCCAGCTGGGAGACAGCCCACAGAGACGGCTCTCCGTGAAGGCTTGAGATACCAGCAGCCCAAGGCTGTCTTTGTTTATGCACAAGTGCCCAGCGGCCCTCCCTGAGGATGGAAAAATCTGCATCTAATGCAGCTAGTTTTCCTTTGAGAAGCTGAGGAAGGTTGGCCTCCACCAGCCCCTTTCTTAGAACCTCCTGCAGCACTGTCCCAGCTTAGTCAGTCCATGGCTGTCCCTGGGTTAGGGCTCCAGCACTCCACACCACAGTGTGTCCACACCACAGTCCGTGCCCATGCAGGGGAGAAACCTGAGCTGTTTGGGGCGGTGGGGGGGGCGGGGGGAAGGAAGCCCTGACTTCCAGCCGCCTGGCCATGGCCTACCTCCTGCCAAAAATGTAAATATTAGGCCTCAGCCCACATAGGCGCTGAAAGCCCTGGCCACTACCTCCACTCTGACGGTCACGAATGCCTACCACATGCCAATCACCAAGCTAAAACCATCCCAGATACTGTGGCACCCCTCAGCTCCCACACTGGCCCTTCAAAGAAAGACGGTGTCATGCCATTTGCCAGGGAGGAAACTGAGCTTCAGAGAGGTTAAGTGCTGTGTATAAGATCACACAGCCAGCCAAACAGAAACAGATGTGACCAGCCTGGAACTACACAGCTTTGTTTCCATGTCTACTAGATTTAAAAGGCAGCAGTTCACGGCAGCAGCCCTGGAGATCCACACAGAGAGGATGGGGTGAAACCCAGCCCCATCAGCCACCACTGGGGCAAACTGCCCCATCATGGGGCCCAACATCTTCACCCCCACCTGCCCTGGTGAAGGCGGTTCTGAGATTCTTGTTTTGTTACTTGTATCTACAAGCCTTGTTTGTTACATGTTATCTGCTGCCCTCCAGGTGCAAACACCATGATTAATTCCTTCCTCCGGGAGCTTAGTTCAGAACGAAATTATGTTTGCAGATATATTTTGTCTTTGCTGTTATCCCAAACCATGCCACCCCCCCTCGACCCCCGCTTCTTTGCATCTGTGTATTTCAATCTACCAGAAAACACAACACCGCTACTTTCCTGCAGTTCTGATCAGGCCAAGGGCCTCGGAGACATCCACCCTGGCTCCTGCTTCAGGAACGAACAGTGTGGCAATCTAAAAGCCTCTCAAATGGATTCTATACGGTGGGAACACTGGTGACTTCCCAGACACACAGACCGACTGGGAAATGCGGTCTTTATTTTAATGGAGCATTCCGCTTCTATAAAAACATACAAAGACTCATCGGCAACCCCATAATGATGCTCGGTGATTGTCAAAGACTGAACAAATGTGTGGGTTTGCAGTTGTGTCCTGTCTTTGCGGAGACTGCTATGGACAACCAGCAGAGCCCAGAAGTCCCCGGCGGCTGCAGGAGCTGGCATACGGCGCTGGTCCAGCCTTTTCTTTCTAAAACATAACTCTTGTGGTTGACGGCCAGCAGTACTCTGTGCATCCTCAGAAGATGGGGCTAAATAGGATTTCACACGTGTTTTCTCTCTCTTCTTCTTTTCTAAGTGGGGTGGGGTCAGTATCACACTTGATATCAGGGAAATTCTCTCATCTAAAGTATGCTCAGGACTAAAGGGGACCAGTGAAATGAGACGGAGGGTGAGGCTCGCCAAGGCCATATGTGTGTGAGCAGCTGACCTGCTTCATCACCAGGCTCTTTCTGATAGCACCTAGCGGGACAGAGCCAGTACCTACCAAGGCAAAGGTTACTAAAATTCACCTAGACACCCTTTGTCTCTTTGGACCACATGGAATTGGAAAGTTTCTGGGATGGCAGAGGTCTTCACCGGGACATCCTGGGAAACTGCATATAGTAGGCTAAGCACCACACTGGAAATCAGGAAACCTAGGCACAGCGGTCAGAGGAGGTTTACCCACTGATCACACACCCAGAGGACATCTGAACGTGACTGGCCCCACTGCTGCCCATTCTCTGTCAGGGGACTGGTGTGGACTCCTCACCTACTCCCTAGTAAGAATGAGAGTTAAAGAGGTTCAAGGGCAATGCCTGGCTTGCCGACAGTGTTTGACAAATACTTCACCAACAATGCTGTGGAAGAAGGAGACGTGGAAAAATACCATATGGGTTGCCATCCCAGGACAGGCAGAAAGGAAAAAACAAAATCAAAAAACTGGACCTAAGACAGGTATGGTCACAGACATCAGTTTACATGGAAGCTTCTCTGGCTTTGCTTTGGAGCCGTGCTTCCAGCTTCCCAGCCTTCATTACCAGATAGACTGGCGAGAGCCAGCGAGTGGTCTCGCAGCTATGGGTACCTGACCCCAACCCTCTTACCTTCTGCTCCAGCGTCCTTTCTAGCGCGTCCACTCGCAGCTGCTCCTTCCGCAGGCTGGCCTGGTAGGCTGCTTGTTCTTGCTGGGCTTTGCCTCGAACCTGGGCAATCTCTGCATTGGCCCTATTAGAACAAGGAGCACCGGAGGTGGTTTCATGGACCCCTCCCCTCCTCCCACGTCCGAATAGAGACTGAGGTCTGAGTCCAGCCCCACTAACTAGAGCCTCAATGTAAGCACACTAAGAATCCCACCCTTGTCATGACATGTAAAGGCTTTGGGTGCCCCCAGCATTACAATAGAATCCTTCGCTTATCTCAGCCGGCAGTGGTTGAATGAGAGCTTAGCCCAAGTGGTAAAGATTAGCTACCCTTTTGCAGGCCAGTGTCAGAGTACTGCTGGAGCACCTGGCCTACGTGAATAGTGAGTTACCTGTCCAGCTTCTCCTCCGCGTGCACCTTCAGGGCCTGGTACCTCTGTTCTTCTTTCTTCACTCGGGACAGATACTCCTGTGCGCATTTCTTCAGCACCTCTTCATTCTGGCACGGCAGGGCCACAAGAAGAAATACTGAGGGGCACACCAGAGCATCCCGAACAGCCAAATCTGACTCCTTAAACCTCCACAGAGGTCCTGTTTACAGTGGCTTGGGATGGGCTTCCTGGATCCTCACCCTGCACGCCCTCCCCCAACCGTTATTGCTTCCCCACCCCCACCCCGACTCCGCCTGGCTCTGCAGATCTACCTTGCGGAAGCCTTCCAGGACCTCCTTCATCTTCTCGTATCTCCTGAAGAGGTCAGCCAGAGACTTTTCCACAGAGTTCAGGTCAGCCAGGGCTTGCTCCTTCTCGAGGACCAGCTGCTGCACAGTTTGGTGGGAGACCGATTTCTCTCTCTGTTCATCCTCTGGCAGGAGAGACAGAAGTCAGACAGCGCAAACTACGTCTACTCAAGTGCAATGCAAGTGTTTCCTTGGAAGGAGCCCTCCCCTCCCAGGGGGTCCCAACGGGACAAAACTCACAGACCTGATAACAAAAACTTGGGGCCATGGCGCATCGTGTGGGTTAAGTAAGAGTCAGTCTTTAACCTGCTCAGTGCGGCCCCTTGCACATCTACAATGGAGACTCCGGGAGTCTACTTTTCCTTCACTAAGCAGATCCACACTGAGTCAGACAGAAAACATTACTGCTGTATTTTCTGGGAAGATGAGATTGAAGGTGCTGTTATGGGCCCTAGGGGTAACTCTTCCTAAATGGTATCAAGGCCTGGACTCTTGGCAAACAGAGACAGTATCTGCAAAGTTCATTTCTCAGCAAGGCAGAGCAGTTCCACTTGGGCCCAGTTTAGTTACTGGTTCCAGCCTGAGCAACAGCTCTGTTCTCGCCCATCCCCCTGGCCCTCAGCCACCCCACAATGACGTCAGCTGTCTCTACACTATGGGACAAACCGTCTCTGACATGAATGCAGCTTCCAACCTGTGCACCAGCCTTTGCCTGGGTGCACATGGAGTATGCAAGGCACGCCTCACTTTCCTGATGACAGCTGACTTTATGACACCCCCTGGCTTCCATCCGTAGCACCAAGAGCTCCCGGGAGAAAACAAGCAGTCCAGCAGATCTTGTCACTCCCCAGGTCACCTGGGAGGGTGCTACCTATTGCCCAGGACTGGCTGAGAGCTGGCTGCAGCTGAAGGCACCAACTGCAGGTGAGGCTATCTCCTTCTGCTCAGAATCCGCCTGTAAAAACCTCCTCTTGGATTGAGAATAAAACCTAGGCTGCATCCCACATGCCTACTCTGGCCCTGACAGCCCCACTACCTCAGGCGGCTCCTGCTCCAGAGCTCAGGAGCCCTCGAAAACTCCCAAGGGTCCCCCATTCACTGGTCTCGGATTTCTCACCACTTCCTGTCCATCTGTCATGTGAAAAGACATGCCTGTGTCTGCATGTGTGGTTGGGCCCCTTGTGGGTTCTGGTTCTGTTATGCTCCAACATTCCCCACTGCAGGCTTGGGACAAAGGCTTCCCGCTGCCTCTTAGGATGGTAATTTTGGCAGGTTGGTCAGACTGAGCAATGCGCGGATGAGCACAGCCGGATGTGCCCATGAATGAATCCGAAGGGCACTTGGATCACGAGGACCGTGATCTTGCAAATGCATTCATGACGTGGTGGTGTTAGAGGTGGCAGAAGGCAGGAGGTGGGGCAAGGCTGGAGGAAGGAGGTCACTGAGGCCAAGTCCTAGGGACTGATGTTGCCCTTGCTTCTTCCTGTATCTCTTTTCTCTTCTTCCTGTCTGCCAAAATATGAACTGCATGCCCTCACCACCACGATGGATGGATTGTTTGGAAACTGTTAGGCAAACATCAAAATCTTCCCTTGAGTTGAGCCTGCCTGTCAGGTGTTTGGGAAAAGCAATGACAAAGTAACACAGCCCCCGAAAGTAACCTGGCCACTGTCCTCAGGCGCCGACAGTGGGTCTGTTGGGGTCATTGCTCTGAGCACACAAAACATTTCCATACAAGTGATGCTGCCACGTGGTCCACATGGTGCACAAACAAGGGCAGCCGCACAATGATCTGTACAAAGTTTTCTTGTCCCCATCTTACAGCAGGAGAAAAGAGGGTTTGGACAACAGTGTCTGTTCACTAAGATGCAACATAGCCCAGGCTCAGGTCCAAAAACAAAAGCATAAGCATGAGTAAATTCCACCTGAACCTCTTGCAACAATGGACGGTTCCCACCAGGACCAGCAAGTGCGGATTTGGGCTATTTGCCCTTCCATTTCTGAGAGGCCAGCATTTTGCTGTGTCTTAAGTTTGGCATAGTATTGCTGTGTGGTATGGTGGGGTCACGGACTGAATTTTAGCTCCAAGCCTGACAGAAACATGTTGAAAAGCTCTGCTATTTTGTGGTTCCCAAGCTTTGCGTACAAATCAAGGCGGCTGTCAGATGCAAGCATGCATTAACACCAGCAGGAGGGCTATTCAAACAGACACGTCCATCCTGCCTTTGGACCCAGCAGGTCAGACCAGGGCTTGGAATCTGCACAAGTAACAAGAGACTCAGATGTAGCTGGCCCAGGGCCCTGCCTGGACAACCACTGGCCTAGGAGATGCCTAATGTTCCTCCAGCCCACCCCAGTCATCCCAGGGTTCTTAGTATTCACAGCAGCAGCCAGAAGCTACCAAGGGAAGTGGCTTTGGAATCTAACAGACCAGATTTGAACCCCAACTCTGATACTTCTCTGCTGTGTGACCTTGGGCAGGTTTTCAAACTCACTGAGTCTCCTAGCCAAAACCAGGGGATGGCAGTGTTTCTAGGCCATAGCATTTGGGGACACTAAAAAAGAAAATGAATACGAAGATCTTGGCACCCAGGAATTGTCTGGAATCAGTGACCTGTTATCAATAGCATATCCCTGTCCCTAGAAACATCACTCCCGACAGTGTGTCACAGTGGCCTGGGAAGCACTGCCTTCGAAATACAGAGAACTTTCTAATGCGAGTCATCTTCTTGCTACATCCACATTCCTAAAAGACAGCATTTGCAAATGCTACTAGCTTTTACTGCCCGGATTTTAGCTGTTTCCTTTATTCCCAGCATGTTGTACGATGTCCATTCTGAGCTGATCTGTGGTCATGTATACATTTCACCAAATGGGCTGAAGGAGTCATTTATCAGAGTCCATCCAATTTCCTGCCTCTAAGATGTCGCCGAACCTCAGCTTTCCTTCTGTCACTTTTAAAAATAGAACTGCCCAGTTCCCAGGAGAGCCAGGCAATGGCAACACAGCACAAATCTTTTGCGTGACCAATGAAGCTAGGCTCTTAGAGTCAGGAAATCAGGGTCAGCCCAAGGCACACGAACAACCCTGAAACGGTTGTTCAGAAACGGGTTTCTGGTGCTTGCAGGCAAATCCCTAGTAAATCGGATGGGGGATGCAGCAAGTACACAAAGCAAAAATAACCAAACCAGAAAAACGAAACACAAAGGGTCGCGGTGGGTAGGGATCAGATGGGGTGGGGATGGGGAGCGTTTACTTACCAGGCTTGCCTGCTTGTTTTGCAAGCAAAGGGGAAGAAGCAACAGAAAATGGAAGCAAAACAGATAATCAGGCAGTTGTTAGGAAAGCAGAAACAACAAAAAAAAAAATTGCAACAATCTGGAATGCAGAAAGCACAGGGGTTCCTTTTGGTCCTAAATTCCAAGGAGCTAGTACTGAGTCTTTAACAAGGCACACTTTCTTCAGAGGAGCTGGAGAGGCGGGATGAGGAGGCGTGGAACATGGGAGAGCCACATGGAGGAAGGGCTAGCATGGCTCAGAGGAACCACGGTCTACTTCGGAACACTTCTACATGTACTCTGGCCCTACACTGCCGAGCTCTCAGGCCCGGGTTCTCCTTTCTGGGCAGGGAGAATGAAAATGGAATGGAAATACGGGATTCAGACGAGACCCAGAAGTGTCTCTTTAAGTGAAGACATTCTCTTTCCTAGATGGCAAGCAGGTCCACCCACCTTCCCAGTCACGTCGCAGGCTGTCTATGTGGACCCTGACATATCTAGTGGTCTCACCTAGTGACCCTCCACATCAACTGACATACAATTTTTCTCGACTAGAACAGCTTTGGAAAGTGAATGAGGAAGAGGCTGGTGAGTAGGGCTAGTGACGACACATCCAAGTGAAGATGCTCCCAAGCTGGGGATGTTGACACCAGTCTCATTGAGCCATTCTGGGGGTTCTCTTGAGAAAACTGTTCTAAATAGGAAATACACCATGCCTCTGATACCCACTTCTTTGATTGTCGAAGACCAAAATGTTCTAACTTCTGACAGCTGCAATTTATCCAACAAGCAGGCACTGGCATCTAGTAACCCCTCTATTACCATAATGGCAGACTGCCCTGAGGTCAGCCAGAGAAGCCCCTTATGCTTGGAGTCCTCCAGGGTGGACTCCTGCTTCTCTCCAAGTCCCCAGCTGCGGACAACAAGCTGGCTGTGGCAGCATCCCCTCAGGAGCCACAGCTCACCCCTTTCCCCTCAACACCCCACCTGCATCTGCCTGAGTCTTCTCAAGGACACTTGCCTCCCAAGACACCAGGAGCCCATGGGTCTGATAACCCTTTCCACGCCGAGAGATAAACACGCTTCCTCTCTGGTGCTTTTGCCAGCACTTACAGACCCCAGAGTTTGAAAGTTTTTATCTCAGCCATGTGCTCATAAATTTCGTTCTGATATAATACACCCACACTGATAGGGCTGCATGTGCCTCGGGGGCTCCAGGTGAAGGCTTCACTAATGTTAGCCACAGCTGCACTCCTGACAGTGTGGGCCCATCCAGCCATTGGCCTTCCTGCTACTTCAAGGACTACTGAGCTGTTTATTTTGAAGTAAGTTACAGATAGTTGGAACTCAAAAAGCCAAACATTTGCTAGGTGTTCTTCTAGGGGACCTGTTCGCGCATGTCCAGCATGAGCACTTGGGTGACAGTGACTTGCGTGTTTACCCTATAAACCCTTAGGTGGGTAAAATTATTTTTAAAAACGGATTATCACGAACCCAAGCAAATAAACAGATAGCTAGACATAAATCAACATGAACACCAGTTCCCCAAGACTATTGATATTAAAAACTGGACTTTGGATTGTCTCTAAGACATTCATTATAGAGAGGGAGGATGGGAGGAAGAGAGGACAGAAGAAAGAGAGGGAGGGAGGAAGGTCTTTCTTTCTTTGCAGACCTAAGCATCTGTCAGCTCTGGCTGCCAGGGATGCAGTGTTCTGATGGAGGTGTCTTATCTCAGGGAGAGCTGGGATTGGCTAACAGGGTTCGCCAGCCACAGAGGATGGGTATTGGGTAGGGAGTTGCCACAGGTTCTATCCTAGCCCTATATCCATTGGTTAAAGTATATGGATATTTAATCATTTGACTCTAAACTAAATTAGGGGTTAGGGGTTTTAATTCTATGCTTTTCTGCAAGCAAAATCCAAAACTCCCACCCATCCCAGTGGCCAAACCAAGACTCTGTCCTGACATGGTGGAGCACCCCGGCTGGGCAAGTGAGGGTTACGGAGACACTGGGTAGCATGAAGCCCATATTCTTGTGGGTATCTTCAGGGTACAGTCACAAGTACAACTGCTTTTAGAGGAGCTGGCCCTGAGTCTTGCAGCCCAATCCCCACGCCCACTGCCCTCCCTGCTCCCCGCTCCCCAGAGTTGGGCCTGATCACCCCGGTCACGACACCCACCGATCATCTGTGCGATGGTCTTCTCATATTCAGCCACGATTTTCCTGGAAGAAAGGCAAAGGCACGCTGAGCTGTGGTAACAGGATGGTGCCGATCTCTACCCCACAGGCAAGGCTCGCACCCCCGTTCTCTTCCGTTCATTCATCAGGTTTGCTTTCCTGGCAGACAACCCTCAGTCCAGCACACTGCTCCACCCCTGCAGCATCTCCACGGCCCACTATGTGAAACAAAAGGCTCCATCTTCCACCTGATGACCGGAGCCTTCAACACCCAGGTCTCACCGCCTCCATAAGCTTTACCACCTTCTAGCCGGCTCACGGACACAGTGGCTTACCATGGACAGACAAGCCCTTCCTTGATCTAGGCTTTCTCATGCCAAGTGTAGCCCAGGTTGCTTACTTCCTTCTTCTATTTCAACCACACAGAATCTGTTGCTCAGGATCTAATTCAAATGTTTTCCTCTTCAGGAAGCCTTCCCTGATTTCTCTTGGCGTTCGCTCTTGAAGTTCCCTAACATTCTCTCTGTATTGTCTCCGCTGATGAAGTGTGTGTGCTCCTCAAAGGAAATACAATGCTACTTGCTATTCCCTTGTGCTTTTAAATTAATAATAATAATTATTATATTTTGAAGGGTGAGACAGGGTCTGCACTATAACCCTGGCTGGTCTGGAATACATATGGATCAGGCTGACCCTGAACGCACAGAGATCTGCTTGCCTCTGCCTTCCAAGTGCTGGGATTAAAAACGTGAGCCACCATGCCTGGCAACTTCCCCGGATGAATAGTGAAGAGGCGAAAGCAGCCCTCCGCCAAGTGCAGTCTTCTGAGGCTGCAGGGTTCACCTGGTCGATCTAGTCATCAGGAAAGTGACAGCGGGAAGCAGGGGGGAGAGTGGGAAGTGGGAAGTACTGGGAAGCAGTGGGAAGCACTGGGAAGCAGTGGAAAGTACTGAGAAACAGTAAGAAGTACTGGGAAGCAGTGGGAAGTACTGGGAAGTACTGGGAAGCAGTGTGAAGTACTGGGAAGTAGTGTGAAGTACTGGGAAGCAGTGAGAAGTACTGGGAAGCAGTGAGAAGTACTGGGAAGCAGTGGGAAGTAGTGGGAAGCAGTGGGAAACAGTGGGAAGTAGCAGGAAGCAGTGGGAAGTACTGGGAAGCAGTG